TTCATCATCGTTATCATTCATACTATCTTCATTTTCTAACAATTTCACTATCTAGGTTTTTTTCTCTAGTCATTTTTAGTTACTACTTTATCGGATGCTTGTTCTGAGGCATTACAACTTTTAATAGATTAAACTTGATAGTTCCTTATACTACTACCCCGTGAACGGTTTTTTTCGGCCTCTTACGGTATCTGGTTTAGGAAGTTCCTTTTTTACATCTTTTTATAAGGATTAGTGATATCGATGCGCTGGGCGACGGGTGTACTGCTTTTCTTGCGTCGTTAACGACTTTTTCGAATAATAATAATAAAAAAAAAAAAATCAAATAAAGTACCACCGGACGGATATCCGCGCGATTTCCGTAATTTGTATAAGTACTTTGTGAGAAAATCGGAGCCGACGTTTTTAATCGGAACGCACGCTCGTGTTTGAAAATTTCAATTGCAAAAAAAAAAAAAAATAAACCCGCCACCCGACACGCGCAACGTTTTCATCTTTAGGTTTGATAATAACGTCAATTCACTCTGCTGTCGGAACCGACGGTACGGGACGACAGCGTTTTCGCGCGGTCAGCACGACGGAGACGGCGCGCGCCCGGTCACGGCGTCCTCTCGACACGGCCGACGCGTTAACATCGTTTACGTTCGTCGGCGGCGCGTAACACAATAACAACAATATCGAAAATTCGATTGTTGTTTATTTGTAAGATAAACCGCGGGTACAGTAAACACAATAACGCAACAGTTATTGTCACAACGCACGCGCGGACGTACACACGTTTCGAGAGCGACGCGTTGTTTACGATGTCCTCCGCGAGACGACGCGCGAGGAGCGCTTCGAAAACGTACGCGCGCACAAATCTCGACGGCCGGTAACATTCGAAATCGCCGTGCGATCGCGTGGCGCGATCCGGCAAACGCGTATTGGCGGCACAGGCGCCCGGAAGCTCCCGCCGCCGTACGGGCGCGATACTATCCGCGCGTACTATCGCGGCGCGGGCACGCGCCGCGCCGCGTTTACTCGAGACCGGTGCGAACCCACCGTGTCGGGCCGACACCGTCGTCGCGTTGTTATGGCCGAACACTTTAGATTGCGCCAGTCGTTTTATCGGAGTCGTTGAGTAGTACGTAAATTCGCTCCCGAGTGCGTACTCTGCGGGGAAAAAAAAACAAAAAACAAAAACAAACACACAATGACTCCTCGTTTTACCGCCGGGCCACGATCGCGTTGCCTACCGTTTGGTTATTACACTGTATAGGCTGGTCGCCATTGATTTCTGACCGTCACTACACGCCGACCATTGATCTTCAGTGTTCGGTGTAATATCGGACACTCCGAGCGGAGACGAACGGGCCCGGAATTGTTGTTTTACAGGAAGTGAGGCGTTTTTATTTTTCGATCTTCGAACACCCCTACGAACCCTCCAAAAACGTTAAGGTGATAAACATGTTGTGCAGGTAGCTATCGCGTTGAGGAATTCGACTTTCGCCCTCGTGCTTCAGAGAACGCGACACCAGACTGGCGTGTTTTACGAACCGGTCCGCGAAGACTCGGAGCGTGAGCAACCGCAGCACAACGTTGAGTTAGTTGACTTAAACGTGGAATTACGTTTACTCGGGCGCACAGATTGTTAGTTACTTATACACCGGCCCGCGATAGAAGTAAACGGTTTCGCGCGTGTAGACTGACGACAGCGAACTGTTTAAAGGTACTGTTTCCCCTCCCCCCACCCCTATGTTCCATTCGGTTGCGACGTATATACACGCGCGTAAATTGGACGCGTTTCAGTCGCAACACGGTTTATTTCTCTCGTGAGCCGGAATTTGCGCATGTTAGTCGGTCCCGGAATCTACGCTGAGCGTATTAACCGTAATTTTCAACGAACGGCGGCAACAGATCACGCGCTGCTGTCGGTTCAAATTCAAGAGGACGTTATACCCGCAACTACCGGGTAACATGCAAAACAGTGCTTATGCAGAATAAGTAAAACTATCTTAATTTTGATTTTAGAGGAAAAGTACCCGTAATGAAATTTATAGAGAACAAAAACCTTTCTTTTCCCCGTTTTTTTCTTCTTTTTTTTTTTGAACGACCGAAATTTTTTTAATAGCTCATGGTTCAAAAAACGCCTGTCACGTTCCGTGTAAAAATATTATTCTCTAAAAATTTCATAACGGGGACTTTACTCTAAAATCAAAATACCAAGCCGGTTTTACAATATTCTGCACAAGCAGTTGTTTTCGGTACGTTACACGCGGTAGTCGGACTCCTCGCGGTATTTAACGCCCTCTTAAGCGACGATTCGTGTACGACGCTGGTCTTCTTTGCCGGAGGGGTGAGAGGTCTCGACCTGCGCGTGAATAATAATCGCGTACAATATTATGAACTCAACGTATAGTCACGGTCGTATCGGGACGGGAATACGGCGGACGGCGACTAGTCGTAACCGCCGTATCCGCACAATACGGGGCCGCCCGTTATCGGCGTAAAATATGATCGGGCAATAAAATATGACGACGGCGGCGGCGATAAGAAGACCGGCGGCGACGGCGGCGGCGGCGGGCGCGCGACCATCAGTCATAAATATCGCGACAATGTCGGTGTCCGCGCGGCCGTGGCGAGCGTGCCGTCGTCGTCGCCGCCGCCGTTTTTCGCCGCGGCGGCGGCGTCCGGACGCGTATTATTATCGTCATCATCGTGTATATATATGGGCGCGCGCGTGCGTGTATAGTGCGTGCCGTCGCCGCCGCCGCCGCCGCCGGTTTACTGGAGAGGAAACGGCCCGATAAACTCGCAACATCCGACCGGGCCGATCTGTACGCGTACGCGGCCATACGGTCAATCGTTCGTGCTTGAACGCACCCTGTGTGCGGCGCGCGCGTCCCGCCCGTCCGCCCGCGCGGTCGCCGGCCCGAACGGCGCGCCGCCGCCCGCGTAACACCGCGCGGGGCCCTCCGACCGTTCCGGCCGTTCCCGTTTTAACGTCGCCGTTACGCGCGTCGCCGACGACGACGCAAACCGCAAATCCGTCGGCGGTGACCGACGGCCGCCGTCGCCCCTCGGAATCGGAACGGCCGGTCACAAAACGACGGAATCCGATACGGTCGCGAATCTCGCGGATTCTCTCCGGAACGTAATTATCATTTCTCCTCGTTAAACCGTCGGCGCGTTTGAGTGGTTGTCGTCGCTGTCGTTGTATCGTTTTGTCTGCCGTACAAAACAAATCTCTACTCATCGTTTCTTCATATTGTTTCGCGACGACAGCGGGGCTCGTGAGTCGTGCCCATAAAGGACGCGGGCCGAACGAACGTCTACGCCGTCTCGCCGCCTGACCGGTTGCTATTTAAGTCGCGACCGTGCCAAAACGGTTTACTATCGATTTGTGGCCGGCGACTCTCGGCGAATTTGTGGAAAACGCACGCGTAACGCGACTACCACGGACGTGTAACGTGACCGCTGAATGCGATTTCAAAACGCTTTCGACGGAATTACGGAGAACACGGACAGTGCCGCGTTCGGGGAGAGAAACCCGAGGCCGTGAGAACCGGTAACGGCGGTAAACGTTTGGACGAGCAATGGGCAGGCGCGAAGGCCGAAAAATAGGCGGTCGAATGCGAGCGTCGGGAACGGTACGAGGACGGCCGGCGCTTACGATTCGATGAGGGTGGGGGGTTGAGCGTGCGGTTGATTGAGGGAACGGGTCAAGCGGAAGTTCGAGACGACGGTGGCCGATCCCGAGTGCGTCGGAATGCGCCCTCGTCGAGAAGAACAGCTGAATAGCGTTTCGGCGCGGGTTCGTCCGCGAACGGGACCGACGCAGCGAAACGTCAACCGCGTCCGGCCGCGAACAACAAAACTAATAATGTCGCGCGGAGCGCGCACAAGACCGACGCGCGGCGAGAATCCGCGAACGCGGCGAAAAAAAGCCGGTACCGGAATTCCCGCGACGAGAGTATCGTGAGAGAGGTCACGCGAGCGGTGAATTTTCCGCCGGCGGAATTGACGGCGTCGCGGCGTTCGACTGTTTCGAACTCCGAGTGAAGCGTCAGAAAGCGTCTGCGGTACATTCGATAGTAATTGGTCTTACGGCGACGTTTACATTTAGCGGTAGGCGATAGGTTTACGTCATTGTTCGATTTTCTAACCGGTTTTCATAATCGCACGCACGCGGTGTTATTATTTTTTTAAATTTTGTTTTTTTTTTTTTTTTTTTTTTTTTTTTGCGATCTCCGGTTAAAAATATTCGCGGGGATTTGAATTTCGGCAAACCGATACGCGTTCGCCATTTGCGGACGCGGTAAAATTTACCGACATTTAAGCCGTTTTATTTTTACGAGTTCTTTTCACGGTTTTCATTCACCGGACAAAACCGTTTGGCACCAAAAACTGTTATCCGAATGAAAACATTTTTTTTTTCTCTAAACATCGATAAATTTATACCGAATCGAATACCGGAATTTCAAACGCATGTCTGTACGCTCGAGCGTCTATAGGAATACGAGTAACAGACGTAAATTGATTCCGAGTGGAACGGTGAACGTTTAAATTAACACTGGCACGACCGCGGTAATATTTAACAAATGTGTAGGACGCCATCTGTAGTAATAACGATTTCATCGGGATCGGTTACTACACCAAGTCGTTATAGTAAATATAATTTTCGGTATAGTGCATTATACCGAACAAATTATCACCGTACGAAATATACAATAATAATGTACTGGTGTTCGATTATAATATACTCACCGTGAAGCCTTCGCGCCGCGTTACGGCAAATCCCAAAACGCTGAGATTAGGTTTGTATTTGAGAAGGGAAAATGAAACGTACGGGAAGCGCTAATAACTGACACATCGTATTGTCGCAACAACAAATAACAATATATTTTTTTGTCGTAAGAAACGGCGTTACGTTCCCGGTATAACGAACACTATTAGGCGGTCGGGCGTTATTTTTTTTATTTCCCCCCCCCCGATACAACCAAATAAGTACAATAATATACCTCGATTATACGATAAACAAGAACATAACGAGTCACGCTATGCAATGTTTAAAATACAATGTTGCTTTACATTGTCTCGTTCGCTCATTTCGTCGCTACATAAATCAAACTTTACGCATACTCAAATATTTCAAGTTAATGTTTATTTAATACGTTTATAACAATGTTAATCGCGGTTTATATAATATAAATTGTAACGCGGTTCGATTAAGGTTAATAGTAATATTAATTATATTCGATCAAATACCGAATCGATGCCTTAACAATAACTAAATACAACAAAATATATGTTTAGTGACTTGACTTCAGTAAAGATAATCAATTCTGTTTCACAGCACGGGACATACGTCGCGAAATAAAGTAATGCGTTACAATATTATTTTAAATCTTTTAATTCCAATATCGCATTGTCTTCTGGGTCCATTATTTTCGAAAAATATTTACCAAAGTCTTTGACATTGCTAGACAGTTCGCTGTTTAATTTCGTCAGGACCCTATTACACAACGATACGACATTGCCAGTCTCTTGAATGACACGCGTCATTTTACCCCATAAATAATCTTTTGGATCGATGAAAAAAACGTTGGACTTTTCGAACTGTATTCTAACTGAGGTCATTTTGGCTGACAACTCTTTCCGCATTGAATTACATAGATTTTCATAATCCGAATCTTTTGGATTTAATGTGTAGTTGTCGGTAAGCGAATATAGTGAGATGACATCCGATACAAGAGACCGTAGCTGTCCGTCAGGAAAATTTTGGGGCTTAAAGTATTCGAGGAACTTATTTATATCTGAAAATTCTTGCTTCATTTTAACCATGTTATTTTTGGCTTCTTTTATAACCTCGTCGATTTTAATAACAACCACACCGATGTAAAATTTAAAATACAAGTCGTAAAGGACATAAAAGTCGTGAGGATTTAAAGTAAAATTAATGGCCTCCGTGAAAATATCGTTGATTTGTTTCTTTTTCCCGTTCCACCTAAATTGAACGTATTCTCCGTATAATTCAATAATTGTAGATACATCTTTAATAATAAACTTTTTGTACAAGTATTCCACGTTCAATATTTTTTTGAAATCATTACTTTTTTTTTCTGTAAGATGATCGATCAAAGAACTTGCAGCGGTTGGTGGTTGAACAAATTTCTCCACCATATCTTCGATGGTATTAGTTTCCATATCCTTACCTAGATCTACTAAATTGATATTATTGAATAAAAATAACTGAAATTGAGACGCTGTCGCACTACAATGTTTTATTTCGTAACTGTTTAACACCGTCATAATCACATTCAAAATTCGTCCCAGGCGATAAACACAATCTAGACTGACTTTTTCTTTTTCGGGCAGATTTTTGAGGTTGTTCCAAATGACGACGATGTCGTATGCAACTTTAAGGAGATCTGGATTATGTTTAGGTCGTATGATTATAATAAGAAAGTATTCACCGACACGTCCAATAGCGTCAAACGCTTTTGTGTATTGCATTTTGGAATCAGACGCCGATATGTCAATTATTTCACCAATATCTAAAACAGCTTGATAACAAATTGAATACATTATCGAGAAAAATTTGCATAATACCTCATCTGATGTGGGAGATTCGTATCGTTTGATGCGGAATTTGGCAACTTCTAATTTTGTTTTCTTTCTAGTAAAAGACGGTATAAAATAACTATTTTCTCGTTCATCGCGTAGATAAATATAATACCGATAGAAACACTTAAAATCGTCGAGGTTTCTATTCATTCTGACCATGAAATTTTCGAAGTATTCTAAATATCGAGGGTGCTCTGTCCATTCTTTGAGTTCGATAACTGTCAAAGAATTTTTATTTACTTTAATTGCATCTAATGACCGCAAATATTTTTTATGATCTAATTTAGTTGTTGAGCCATCTGTTTTATCGGGTACTAAAATACTACATAAAAACTGAAAGTTATCGATTAATTCTGGGGGTAAATTTTTATTATGCTCACTAACGGTTAGCTTTGAACATATTTCTTCAAGTATACTGACCACTTTATACGATAATTTCTCATTTTCAATGTATCGTATTATCCTATCGTACATTAACTTAATAATCGCAGTTAAAACGTACCTTTGATACCTGAACATTGCTTCGAAGTCATACTCGTAATTTTTTATTATTTGTTCGGATAACGTTTTAATTTGTACATTGTCAATGCCAGCATCCCGAATACGTGCGGTAACTATTTCATTCGAAACTTGATCCGTATTTGACGTAAGCAATACGATATTATGCAAGAGAATTTTCGGCGCGAAACAATTATTCGGATTCATTTCTAATAATGAAAAGGATTTCGCAATATTAAACAAAAACTCTTCGATATTATCAATGTCCATAAACTCTTTTTCAGTCGCAGTTATCCAATAACCGTAAAATGGTGTGTTTTTCTCGTTGGAAGTCGTCTCCATACAATTCATGGACAGAAAACGTTGTAAAGCGTTCATTTCTTCGACGATACTCCGGAGTATTTCAAAATCAGACTCGTGGTTTACATGTTTATCGACATCGTTTTGTGAAGATAGCGATAAATAATACATTTTAATTTGCAACGTCATTAACGTTTTAACAAAAGTATTGTCGATGTTGAACCATTTGTGTGTGACTGTTTCAAAAAAATTAAAAATTATACTTATAAAGCGTTCTATATTTGTATCCAAACTAAAAAACTGACGTATCGATACTTTAAAAAGTTGTGTATATACTGATCTGTACACGGCCAAATCTTGAAACTGGTATTGATAAAGTATCGGAGATGATTTAACGACTTTGTATATCTTATCTATAGTCCATTTAGCAAACTTACAGCATATCGTATTGTAAAATGCCACTACTTTCTGTTCATCACCGATAGACTTTGGTTTAATTATTTTCTTTTCAGTTAGTCCATTAATCTTTTGAATTGTGTTTTCTTTAAACGAGCCAATTTTACTATCGTAATCGTAATATATATTACAAGGTTCCGATTCGTTGATTCTAACAATCTTGATAAAATCGTTATCCGATTTAATGACATTTACACTTTTTTGAATAGCTTTATAAAATTCTGAGTCGCCAAACACCAAATGATATCGTATCGTTGAAAAACATAAAAATACAAATAAATACACGTTAATTCGTACCATCGTGACTAAAATATTGTTAAGTAACTCAGTAGCTCAGATTTTCAACTACACTTTGTAGATTAAAATTGCTAAACCCTTATGGTTTCATTTTAAAAACGGTAATATTTGTTTAGTTGAATAAATAAAAAAATAATGTGGTACCGAATCTTGTAATCAAAAGGTGCAATTCTAGAGTTGTAATTGTATAAAAATTTTTCATCGTTAAATAATATTATTTAAATTATAATTAAATTGTAAATTGTTTATAAATTGAAGGTTGAAGATGCTCCTCACGGATGAACCGTCCTTTTTTTTAGGGTGGAAAGTCGGGAAGTTTAGAGGACATGTAAAATAGTTTAGTTTATAAATGCCACGTAGCGTGCATCGTTAAAATCGCATCTTAAAACGGTTATGAAAAACGAAAATTCCTGACTACGAATATACTTATATTCGGTGAATATTTTATTTTATATAATGCAGGCTTGTTACATAATTTTACATAAATGGTTATGACATGTATTTACGATAATTTTTAATCGATTTGCAACAAAAAAATAAATTGACATTAATAGAAATCGTTATTGCTTAGATATTCCCGTTTTTCGACATTTATCGTTTTCGATAATTCCTCATTATTTAGAATAATCCAATAAAAATATTAAAATAATCTTCCCAATGCACAAACTGGAAAAAGTTTATTTCCAATAACCAGATATATTTGGAGTAAGATTTTTAATCAAAAAATTATTCACATCAGACACACAAAAACAGAGGTAAAAATTAACAGATGTGTCTCTACTGTTGTAGGTAGGGAATAAAATATTTTGGTTTTTATTGTGCGTAACAATAAATTATCGCTAAACGATTTTGAGCGAAGATTGGTTAAACATGTTTTGGAATGTCATGGTTTTTAAAAATTCCAAAAACGTTTCAAATTATTATAGTTAAACAAAAAAAAAAATGACTACAGAAAGTTCAATTTTTTTTTTTTTTTTGATCACTAAGTAAATTAATAATGAACCTCATGATAAATTTTTCAACAATTTTTACTTTTGATTTGAAACGGTTATTACCTTTTTTTATTTTGCTTATCAAAAAATAAAATGTGTACGTTGTTTCACATGTCTACGTGTATTAGAGGTTTAAATCAAAATCGCTATTGCGAAAATTATTCCGCTCTTTTACCTACGATTAAGGAGGAATGCACAGGTTACTATAAGAAAAATGTACTTCCTCAACGAACCAACGAGATCTAAAATGCAAAAAGAAGGTCTTGTGTAATGTTTTTATTGGGACAAGATATCTGGTAAAAAAAGTCGTTTACGGACAGAAAAATAAAATATCCACGCATCATAGTAACGCCATACTTGGAATTATGCAAATCGTAAAAAAAAAAAAAAAAACCCCTTAAAAATGCATTAATTTAATTGAAAATTGCAAGTTCTTTAAATTATTTTTATTATAAACATTTTTCCTTTATATATTATTGGTAATATATCCCAGTGCTTACCCAATACTATACACCGTGCCGAATCGTCCTGTATACTTGTTTGCGGGTTCCGAATCGGATTATGCGATAATCGCGCGCGCAATACAATACATAAAACTGTAATAATTATAAACGAACAAATAATCACGGTCCTTTGTTCCGTAATACCAGAGTATAATTCGAAAATCAAAATAGGGTTCGAGTAGAAAATCGTGGTCAAAACTGCAAGCGCACGTACCAGCCGTTATAAAATACATATTATTCATATTAAACGTATGTCGACGCGTTAATTTCCATCCCGCCAACGGTTTAACATCGCATGTCATCATATTTATACCTGACTCGCATTAATCGAAATGTATTAATTCAGATTCTAATAGTAAAGGGTATTGGTTTTGCAATGGTGATTGATTTTTTTTTTATCTATGAAATTAATTATTTTGTTTTTAGATTCAAAGAGGCGCGAGGAATCTATTGGGTTTACAATGAAGTCTGTGTTACTGCTGATAACAATGATAGCACTTTTTCTGAAAGAAAATCTGCTTGGAGAGGTACTAAGGCAGATCGTTTTTTTAATTTTCCCACAAGTTTTCCCAATGAATAAGAAAACGTATTGGTAAAATATTACGTGCTTTTATTTTACAATAATATACGAGTAGATTCATTATAGGTCGAGGTTTGGAGTAAAAAAAATAAGTCGAATGCAATGTAGAATTTTTTTTTTGTATGCATTTTAATATAAAATTTTGACGAAAAAATATGTCCGTCTTTTTTTATTGTAAAACGCCGATATAGTTTGCCAGCATAGTGTTTTCCGATGGGTATTAAAGAATCTATTTTTAATAGAACTTATTCCAGTTTTTCAAATTTCATTAAAAATACCTCAGTAACAATGTATCTTAGGCGCCCCCGGACTTTTACGACTTAAACTAAAGGGGACGGATAATTTACCGTAAGTAAGAAGGGGGATCGTATCCCCCACCGTCAACCACCCCCCCCCCTTCACTTTAATTGCTGCATGTCCATTAAACCATTAAAGTAAGTTTCGTATAAATTATTATGACGAGTTCGAAAATGGCACGTGTCGTGTATAAAGGCTATAAAAAAAAAACAACAAACATCTAAATTATGATATAAATAGGCTGCAATTATTACAGAACTATAACTATATAATAAGTATTAAAATATAAACGTACTCTTCGGTCACGCCTTACATAACCTTATTATGACCTTCACGAAGATCTTCGAAAGACTTAAGACTCAATAACTGCAGTTAGTTTCGGTAAAGACATCACACGAAATCTCATTCGTTTTCGAATTTACGGTTATACATCATAATTATAGCTGTACGATCTGATAAAAACCGAAATATTACTAAAGAAGTATACATAATATGTTCGTAATATTAAAATGCCTCAATCAATTACTTTGAATTGTGATTAAAACGAGCGATGATGTTTCGGTTAAACTCACTACATCATTAGTATGTGTGGTTTTTGTGCGTGTCTGCAAACAACTTTTCTAATAGAAATATTGCTCAAATAAAAAACTTTCGAGGAACTTTCCTGTAGCATTTATAATCTAGCCAGAGAACTGAGGAGTGTATTATTTTGATTTCCCTTGTAGTTTTAAATGTGTGACAGTTAAATGGAAAACGATGACAAATTTTCGTATAGTTTGCGTTTATTTCTAGAAGTTTCTTTGGTAACAAACGAAAAAATGCGATTAATAACACTTTGATCAGACTCGTTTTTTGATAGCAATAGTTTATCGTTGCACACAAATATAAATTGAATTACTTTTTTTCTGCGATTCTTATGATTTTAATAATTCTAAGTATGGCGTTACTATGATATGTGGTTGTTTTATTTTTCTGTCTGTAAACAACTTTTCCACCAGATAACTTGTTCTTATAAAAAAAAATGACGCAAGAACAAATTTTTTTTTGAATTCTGCATCTAGTTGGTTCGTTGATAATGTAAATGTTCAACGTGGTGTCATATCCATGCTTATTTATTATTATTATTATTATAATAATAATAGTATGGTAGAGTTACGTACTCGCGGGTTCTATTTCGGTAAAATTATTTTCGTTTTTGTTGTTAACCAGAGACAATTTTTTAAAAAAAAAAAAAAACCATATTCACCGACGTTTAGTCCGAAAATCCTCTTTGTAAATCGCTCCGAATATGCGGACGGTGTTTTTCCCCCGAAGTCCAACGGCGCTTTTTTTTTTTATATATATATATATATATATATATATATACTTTTGGCTCTATATATTTATATAAAGAAGAGCTCGCCCGGCGGATCGGTTTTTATTATCTAATGGGACAGAAACCGTGTGCGTGAGCGCCGTTTGACCCTCGCTAACAGCTACACCGTTTATTATTATTAGCGATACCAGCGGGTGAAAAAAAAAAAAAAAAAAAAAAAAACAACTGACGCGCGAAATCGAAGAACGGTACGCATTTTTGTCTGTTTGCGCTCGTCTTCTCGATTTTGTCCCGCAAACGTAGTTCGAAGAGCGAACAACAATCATTACATTATGTACACGTATAGCGTTTATTCGCATTATTTGTCGACATTTTTCCCCCGAATGTAGAGACACCGCGTATCGTGTCGAACGTATACGAGTATACACGTCTGCGCACATTTTTCTCGCTACTTTTGGACACTTTAACCTCCCTGTTGACCGCCTTATAGAGGTATTTTTTTTTTTACAGATTTCTGAAAAATTGTTTTATATAATAGCCGCATAATCGGTGTTTAACGCGTTTAACTTGATTAAACGTTTAATCGTGACGCAGTGTTATGGACCTATTCTCAAAACTCTATCCGAGCAAACACTCGTAAAACGTAAAACGTTACGATGGATTTCTCAATGGGGTGGACAAAACAAAATACCCCGAATGACGTGTGTCTTTTTCAACGTTATCGTTTTCCTCGATTCGGTACAGTTAAAAATATACTATCTACACGGCCCGTCTGTATTTGTAACCGATGAGAATGTTTTAAAATAAACCGCGTAGCTACACCATTTAAGTCAACATACGAATGTTGGTAACGATTATAATACAAATATTGAAGAATACCGTCAACGGTGGGGGAGTGAGAGTCGCGGTCGCCCACCGTCCACGTGAAAGGGTAAATACGCCGTTGCTTATAACGCACTCGTATTACGAAGTACCTAGGTAGATAACAACGGAACAACGGCCCGTTTTCCTTTCGGGACGACACGGTTTCTCGGCTCTATCGAGTGCGCGCATTTTCAATTCCGCGAGGAACTATAAATAGACGTTTTGCTTTTATTTCATGAGCGACCGTGAAATTGTCTACGGTCGCGAGTCTACGATGAGCTGCGTATGGAAAAATTCAAATGTATCCGGTTCGGTAATATTGTCTGTCATTCCGCCATAAGTTCTGCCGTCGTCGTCGACCATAAATCCGTCCGCAAATCGTGGTTCCGTTTAGTCTTTTTGTTGGACGTATATAACCTATACCGACGACTCGGTAAATATTACCGTGTGCGCAATAAGCCCTTTCAATACGTTCCGGCGCTCGGCTCTTTC